CTACGCTTTTTAAATCGACAAACAGTTATCGCAGGGCGCAAACTGCAATCGCTTGTCATTATTTTGGATTATCGGTTACCGTTAATTGACGGTCGAGCGCAATGTATCGTACAGTCTGTTCCCGATCGAAACTATTATCGGGTCAACGAATATCACGACGATGCCTGTCACGGTGAGAAATAACACGATCGGTCGAATCGAACAAAAGAATTAACGGGAAAACCGTAGGGTAGTATCACGCTTCATAAATATCTCCGTAAATCAATTAATTGGCATGCTATGTATGTCGGACTCGCGTTGTAAAATGTTTGCCGGAATATCAATTGTTCATTATGAAGCACAATGATTGATCAAATATGTACAACAACCGTATCATCGCAATTATATTTTAATGAATAAACAAACAAATAAATTTCTTTTGTTGCCCTCGGGCAGAAATTTTCTCCTGATTCCCTTCAACTAGATGCTCGTAGGATTACGTAGCACTAGATTAGTTATCTTAAGATAAGCAAGTTATCGCTAGTTTGGTAACATCCACGTTACTAACAACAAACAAACTATGACGCTTGCAATATACCTATTATCCATTAATGCAGAATACAGAGCATAATTAGATGCGCATTAAGCAAACAATTTAGCTCTTGCGCTCGCACAAATTGGCGCATCGTGATCTGCATTGAATAAATAACGTTATGGCTATTCAAGCGTGAAGCGTAAAAACTTTATCTTTTTTTAAATATCGTCACGTTTTGTTTTGGCAGCTCTTTTCTCCAGTACTGAATTCGATATCAACGAATATCATGCGAGAGTAAAACGAATTACAACGTAAATTTTTTCTTACAAAATTTTGACAACACACAGGTCAAACAATTTATTTAAATTTTTTTACATTTATTTCGCTCTCGATCATTTTTAATCCTAATTTCTGTTTTCCCTGGTGTATCTTCTTATTAGAAATTTTATCTTCATCTCTTTTTGCATTACGCGTCTTTCTCCAACCGCAGCGGAGCAGCAAGAGGAGCGTGCTGATTGGGAGGCTAATCACGCGCTACTCTCCATTACATTAATTAAAACTTAGCTCTCAACTCTGCTCGGCTTCTACGTCACCTGCTGCGCCATTCGCGTTGTCCTTTCCTTCCTCTCATCCTGCTCGCGTTCCCGATGTTCCCGCGATCACTTTGTCTTCGCCCGTTCGTCTACCTACCCACGTATGCCACCGCTTGTGTGTCGCATTTCCTAAGAAAATCATGGTTGCCTCCAACAACGTGGATATGAATAAATGATAAGCTTGTTCTTCACCGAAATTGCTTAAAATTGATTCAACCGAGAGTGCCCTTCATCTACTACCGTTTTTGTTAAAACAAAATTCTCAGTATCTCTTCATTAATTGCGTTTTCACAAAATCAATAATTAATTATAAAAATCATTTCTCCAAAAAGTATTTTTGTCTAAAAAAGTTAAATTCAAAACTAAAATATCACCACGTTACTCATACAAGAATTCTGCAATTTTTTTAATCAAAAATTTTAAAACAATTTCACGAAGATAAATATTGTAATATTAACATATTGTAAGTGGAAAGAATCTAGTACGTACAAATAAAGGTACTGCTATTAAGATTGTTCACTTTGTGTTTCTTATTTGCTACTCTAGTTTTGCCTTCAGGAGTTGTTCCCAAAGGGTTACACTTTCAAATAGGTACCAAAATGGAGAATTACTCTCAATTCAACGTCCACCTTGGACGTTCCAATGTCCCATAGAGTTTTACTGTCGAGAATTGTTCTCAGATTGAGAAAACTTTAATTTTAAAGTACCTATTTAAAATTTGTAATGTGTATTTAAAATTTTCAAACAGATATTTATCCAAAAGTATCTGTACAATTCTAAATAAAGAAAATATTGATAAATTTATTTTATATTAATATATTTTTATATACTTATTATTATATATTAATTTTGTAATAATTAATTTTATATTAATGTGAGTTATGGATTGTGTTAATAATTACCTATATAATCACCATTTATGTTTGTAATCGGAATATTCAGTAACAAAGATCGCGAATTCGCGAAATTATTCCGCGAATTAGAACCTCGCACAAAAGATTTGCTTGCAGTTGGCAAAACCGCTTAGCCCATTCGACGTAATCCCTACTCGACCCAATTCGACCGTCGCATCGGCGAGTGTTGTAAAAGAAAAAAGAAAGTAGAACGGACGGCAAATAAATAACGTTCCACCGCGGATAATGGTATATTTATTGAATGTACAATTATACATCCTATATCGACGAAAGGAAATGAATTGTTCTTGCGATTCTATCGCGAATAGTCTCGCTTTATTTTTCTTTGTTCGTACATTCATCCTCCCGAGAGAATCAATAACGACCGCGAAAAACAACTTCCCTGCCCGCTAATGTTACGATTATAGCTGCACGTTAATCAAGTTGAACGATCGGCACAAACGCCCATGTGACTATACGATCAGGGTTGCCACAGAAAATAAATTTTAAAATTCCTTGACTTTTCCAGGTTTTCCAGAGAAAAATGAAAAACTTTCCAATATAAAATATATAAATGTTAACACATTTAAAGTCAAGAGTTGTAGGAAAGCTAGCCTATATTATTAAAAACAACGCAAAAAAGGCTTAGTGCAAATTCAAATCAACAAAAAAATAAATTAGTATTGGAAAAAAGAATGCAGTTACGAAAAAAAGCGATCAAATAAAAATACTGAATAAAATATAAATTTTAATTATTTTATTAATTTTAATTATTTTATCGTTTAAAGTGTGCAAGTTTTGAACGTATTTCATTATAAACGTCAGATATAATATTAAAAAATTGTAACAATTATCTGAAATAGGAGCAATTTAAGGAAATTGTGAGCAAATGTCAAAATTCCAGACTTTTTTATATTTTCCCCTAACTTTTCCCGGTTTTCCCGGTTTTCCAGGTTTGTGGCAACCCTGATGATATTCGATCTGCAGGTCGGCGACCGGTGATAATAATGTTTATAGAACGCCACTACGTATCTTTCGGATTAGTTAGAGAATTATCCTGACTTAGCTCAACTAAAAGTTTAATTCTAAGCTATGAACACTGCCGCATAGCACCACGTATATATCGCGAATATTATTCGGACGAAATGGACCACGGTTTTAACGTCTTCGATGAGAATATATATATGCATGGTTTGGATGGTAGCTGAGGGCGTGGAACGGCTGCCGCAATAGCAAAATTGGAAAAAGTGCCGATCAAACAAAATTAATTGGTTTCGCCGCGTCGAACTGCAACAAAGCAACTCTCGCTTCGAGCGAGAACGAGCCGATCCGAGGTCCTTCTCAGCCACGAATTATTTCGGAACTTTACTATATTCGGCCGATATCGCTTTTGTAATTCTATCGCGGGATAAAAGATCGTGTTTGACTAGAAACTACCGCGCGAAAGTATACAGACGGACGGCGCACGGTCTATTCCGCCGAAATATAACATGTGGACCGAAGTGCGACGTGCGGATTTTGCGGAAATCGTGTTGGAAATGGAAATATAGGGAAAACTCTGGTTACACAATCAAGCCAGCGAGAAATGTGTTCTTTTCTATAACGTGATCGAACCTCGGAAACTCGTCGTTTCAATTATTTTCCCATGGTGTCGATTCACGGGGAAACATGATGGTACAATAATCTCGTGAGACTATTGAAAAATTCTATCGAAAATATTGAATAATCTGCTTCATTAATTTTATGTAAATATAAAAGAAGGATTATCTGCTCTTTTCTTAATTTAACCCTTTAGGTACACTGTGAGTCTTTTTCGATCCAGGCGAAATTTCACTGTCAAATTTCTTGGCACGAATTTCAATTTTTATTAAATAAAGATTTTAATATTGAAATTAAATGATTATTTGGCAATGTAACAAAGATGTTGAAAAGTAATCCTGACGTTTATCTATACTTTCTGAAAGCCTAAAATACAGTAAAAAAATTTTGAATTAGACCAAAAAGACTCAAGAGCGCCTATGAAGTAAATAAAAATATGTATGCCTATAAAGAGTTAATGATAATTTTATTAATTTAGCGTCAATAAAAGAATTTTCAAACCAAACATTCATAGTGCAATCAGATTTGGAATTATATTTTTAAATCCTTATTCCGTTTTTACGTGTATTAACAAATAATACAATATATAATGTAATTACCTACGTAAACGAAATACGTACAATTTACTTTTCGCAAAACGAGCTATTTAAAGTTTCGAGGAAAAGCTACGGAAGTAATTGCTACGCAATAGTTGGCGCTATAACGATCATGATTATAAGTTACACATGGCTTTTATAACTAACTGAAAAGCAGTGCCTTTTTCGCGCGCCAGATCATGAAGTGGAGTTTCCCCCGACCGAGCTCGTTCGTCCGCCTCGGGGTTATTCGCAAACGTGCGAGCAGTTTCTATTTAACATTTAGTCATACGCTCGCGTAGATACTCCACCGACCTACGCATTTGTCGTAAATCTTACCACTACACGCACGAATACGAAAGTCAACGGTAAAGATATACACACACACACACACACACACATATATATATATATATATATATATATATATATCGATATACGAACACTCGCGCTGCTTGGTACGGATCGCCCGTTCTCTTCGATCTCAAAGCTACCCCTGCTCCGGTTTCACGGATGGAATTTCAGGAGAAACGTTTTATACGCCGGGTGCTCTCTCCTGGCTGGCACGTCGCCTCGAGCGCTTTGTCGGAGGGCAGTTAATTAATAAAAGCTGGAAAGAAGGGAGAGTACGAGGAGCGCGTAACGGCAGCGACGGGGAGCGCCGGGCGTTGGTCCGGGGGAAGTGACGGGGGAGAGGCCGGGTATAAACGGAACGAGAGGGCGAGGACGGGTATAAACGGAAGGTATAAAAGGATGGAACTATACTATCGTTTCATATCGGCCGGCCGAACCCCACACTTGCAATTCAAACGAGAACGGCACTCACGTGTCGTGAACGAGAAACTTGTCGCCGTTTTTCTCGATGCAGAAGCCCTTGCTGGTGATTTCGGAACCGTTGACGGTCACCAAGTCCGTAATCCCCGACTGGAACCACCGACCGTACCATTCCTCCGGGAACGTGCAGCCTGAAACAGAGGGATGGATACAGAGGGGGGATTTGTTTCAACCGCCTACGGGCGATGGGCGAATGTACTCGCTCGGTCGAAAAGTTTTTCAGATTTTAATCTGAAGACCCCCCCCGAACCTGTTAACGCGACGTTCACGCCGGAAACGCAAAACAATCCAATGCGGTTGCGGCTACGATATTTTTCTGGATCGCCGACAAACAGCCAGCGGGCTTGTACGCGTCAGGGTTACCAGATTCTTTCTTCATCAATAACGTGGCTAAAAGGAACGTAATGAAACAATTGTAAGCTCCTGTTACTCTTCCCCTCCCTGGGAGGCGGAAAATGTCGAACCGCCCAGGATTATTTTCTCGTTCCCCGCGAGAAACGCGACGATTGCATGAATTAAAAAGCTAATGTTTCTCTCCGAAGTCGAGAGAGAAGAAAATACGTGCAATGTAATATTATATCAATGTAAAGGGATAATTCCATCTTGTTGTCTATTACACGGAGATCCCCGCGTGTAAACTGATTGCGACGGTCCGTATTTATCTATGGATTATGTGGAGATGTAGCCTGAACTATCGGACGTTTATACGGGGCACACAGGATGTTACATTTTAAATTCCGGGATTTGATATCTGGGAAAACTCAACAACAGAAAAGAAACATTACGTTTCTCATATCATATAATATTATCGTGTAATACAATCTCAATACGTCATATAATGTAATCTCCGTATCAAAATACTTTTCCCTATATTCGATGTTTCTTGTGTCTTCATACGTTTGGATATATAAACCAAAATAATGAAAAATCACCGTCCATTTCCGTTGCTTTTAAATAATCGGATCCGTTGTGCCGAGTGGACAACCGTGGTTGCTTGCCGTAGGGAGGAGTCCTTCCTCACCCTCTATTTTCTCCTTTCCCCCCCCCCATTGCGGAGCGTCTTTTCCGCCCGATTTTCCACTAGTCGTGAGGGTAAATACGAGATTCCGCGAATATTTCGAATGCTCGTCGGCAACGGAGTCCGCCGTGAGCACAAACGAAGTTGTAAAAATGAAGAATCTCCTTAGAGAGATCGGATTATCGCGAAAGAGCGCAAGTAGGTGAAAGAGCCGTTCCCTCTTCGTCGCGCAATCGTTCATCCTCCTTGCTCCCTTCCCACCCACCCCTCTCTCTCTCTCTTCTCCTCTCTCTCTCTCTCTTTCTGCGTCTGCATCTGTAGCAACGAGGATTACAACGAGAAACGACGTCGCGATTAAGCATTGTTTGCCGGAAGCATTTTGCATTTAATAAGTCCAAGTGTTTCGGAATCCCGGATGAGCGGGGGTATCAACGGGGAGGAGTAGACGAGGCCGGAAGAAGAAAGGGGAAGGGAGGGATTGGAGAACAGGAAAGACGACGAGGAATCTCGCGAATTCGCTACACGAAGATACCGGCTCTGCTCTCGCGACTGCGTTTCGAAGTTGCGAAAACGGGGAGTCGATGGTAACGACAGTGGGATTTATTAATACTCGAAGAGACAGACGTGACGTGCACCTTTTGTGCCAATGCGTCGACGTGAACATCTCTCGCTCTTGTCTTTCTCTCCCCTCTCCCCTTACTGTTTCTCTCTCACAATTGGAAACCGGATTATCTAGTTTCTGGACATGTGTGTTTGGCCATTACCGCGGCTCTTAATTTCCAGCTCCAGTAGATTACGTTCTACGGAGAACTGCAACGTGTATCAAGTATCCCCCCCTAGTTGTCAGTGTCTAATAGCAGGTGTATCGCATGACTACGTTGTTTCCAGTCGCAACTTGCGTCTTCAGTTACATTGAGATGCAAACATCCGTAGCTGCGTATACAGAGTTCTACTGCTCTTGAACGATTTTGACGTCGAGCTCTTCATCAATGATAAATCTGAAACTATGTTATACTTGTAACTTCTGCGTGACCCGTAATCTGTCTATTATTTGTATAATTTACGAAATTCCAAATAACAGATAAACCGCTCCGTTTCCTTCTGATCATTAAAGGGTTCTCTCTCCGTAGCGCAATTCAAGAACATACCTCGCAGACGCGGATAATTATCGTTACCGACATCACAACGATGCTAATTGTAAGTATCGCGGATCTTTACTGGGAGGAGATGAGAGAAAGAATTAAGGAAAATAAGGAGAAAAAAAAACTGGAGGAAGAAAGTTAGAGGGAAGGATAGACGGAAAATAAAGAGAGGAAGAGAGTAAAGGAGAAGGTGGCAGTAGGTAGCCACGGTATAATTAACGGAAATTGGAGTTAGGTCAAAAAGCAAAGTTATCGGGGAGAGTTTCGTTGCCGGTGCACGGCAACGAGCCAGTTCGCGAGCGCGCGAGCGCGTACGCAAGAGGACTGGCTTTTTCCGGGGCAGCAGCCGCTGATATAATTACTAATTAATTACCGTTCCTGCGGCACCGCGCTGCGCCGCGCCGCGCCGTTTCCACGGGCTCACTTAAAAGGACACTGTATGAACACGGGAAACGGAAGTGACTGTAATCTCTCGGAGGCGTCTCCGAGCGAAGCGATATTTTGCATCGCGACAACCAGCTCGTCTATTTTAAGCAGCCAGTCGATACACCCCCGTTCGCAACTATTTTAATGTAGCTGACGTCAAGTTCGGCCTTATTCAATTCTTTATAACGGAGTCTATTGCGTTGGCGTGCGTACGTGTGTATCTTCAATTTAAAGGATGACAAGTTATTTTTTTTTTGTTCCTCAACCGATTAAAATAGAAAACGCTTGTAACTACAAATTGTTCTAATTAGATTGTTTACTTTGATTATTTTGTATATGAGAGAGATAAAAGTGTTGCTGAGAAGTCTTTGCCTGTATTAACCTAGTACATATACGAGTATGTGTACTATTTATGGATTAAATATGACTATAAATATGTGTAAGTAGGTGTATAGCAGTGGCAGCTATGCTTGATAACAGACATGGCAGGAAAGTGAGCAATCTCACGGAAAGAACGGTTTTGCTGAAATGCGTAAAATTTTAGATACAAATTTAAAAATAATATGGGACTATTAAAATAATTATACAAGATGCTCAAGTTGGTTGCCAGAATTTCTTTTGGCGGCATTATTTATTATGCTTAAGCGTTCTGCATAATTATTTACTGATCCAAAGAAATTATTTTCGGATTTATATCTAGCCAAATTTTTATAGATAGTTCAACAAAACTATCATATTTGTTTCGTATAATTATAGAAATCTGTGCTTATAACATGATCAGTGTAAAAAGAAATCCGGAAGAAAGAAAGAGAGAGAGAGAGAGAGAGAGAAGCGGTCCCAAAAAAAAATCGTTTAAAATCTCTCTCTCTCTCTCTCTCTCTCTCCATAATTCCGTATTTTCCCGTC